CCATACTCAGTCTTATACAGTTTCTCTTAAAAATAAGCCATGATCAGGAAATTCTTTAACTCTTTAAATCTATGCACATTTAAAGAGACAGTGGATAGTGTCAAGTGTAAAGTTGGGAAGAAGACATGTCTGCAAATGCCTGAATAAATGCCCAAGTGGAAACAGAGCCAAAGATTGGCATTTGAAATATCCCAGAGGGCAGAATGGTTGTTATGAGTGGGTTTGGCTATTAGCCTTTCTGCAGGGTACTTAAGTCATAGATGGTGATTTTCATTCAATACCTAGGTTTGAGGTATGAAGCTTTAGAAATGAGATATACCAGCAAGGTAGTCAAGAACGAGGATGGGTAATCTAGTTAGATGACACTTGGATGTCCACTTAGGCAGGAAGACACTGGCCTTGAGGAAGTCAGTCCTTAAAAATGGAAGCCCAAGTCACCAAATGAGTTCGGAGGCAACTCCAGCACCCACGTAAGGAGCAGATCAAGACAAAGCAAAAGTCAGCACCCCAGGGGCACTAAGAAATTAGACAGGCAATGAGAGCATGAATTAAAATAGAAACCAAATCAGAAGCTGAGGGCAGAGACAAGTACAGTTAGGACCTTTGGTAATAGACACTCTGGTGCCAAAAACATCTTCAGAGCAGAAACAACACAGAGAGTTTAAAAACTATGTGAGGTCCAAGTGTCAGCCCTATGAACCATGGTCTCAGGTCAGGTTTGCCACAAATGTAACCAGTGGCACAGGAGACAGCCTGAGAGGATATCATGATATTAGTTAGTTTGGTACAAAGAGTTCAGAAAATAATACTACCATTAATCAGATTCCATCTATATGTTTGGCACAGTGTCAGATGCTATGCCTACATTTTTTCTAATCCTCACAAGCACTCTTTAAGGTAGGTATTATTAATCCCATCCATACTAATGAAGGATTTAAAGACAAGAAAGGGGCACACTTAAACTTTTAAGTCCAGATTGATCTAGGAGTTAAAGCAGAGTTGACTGCATGGATAGGGATTTCAAGGAGAGGAGGAAAGCGTGGGGAGACAATGAACAGATGGTCTTTTAGCTGATTTTCTGGGAGCATTATCTGTAGTTACCTGCCATATGTAGTAGTCATGAGGGTTTGAATATCTACTCAAAATTATAAGGTGAAACCCTATTATGTGCCAGATAATATCTAGGCATCTGGAATAGTCACGAGTTAGATAGTATACACTCTCCCCGAGTCCATATGCTAGTAGTGGATGCCCAAATGGATTTTCTAAACCAATCATGGAAATCCCATGTCCAATATCTAACCTAGACTGTGGGACATGAGAAGTCAGTTGAGGACATTTGAGGAAGATTTTCTTTCCATAAAAGTTACAATCCTTCCCTTTCATGTGCAAGCACAAAGAAAATAAGCTCAATGTGAAGTTGACACTGAGGATGACAGAATGACAGAGAAAACAGAGGTACCCAAAGACATTATTGAGTATCTGATCATACTATTCTCTGACCTGCTCTGTTTATGGACTTTGGTTATGTGAAATAATTTCCTGACTCAATGTGTAAGTCACCATAAACTGGGGTGTTCTGTAATTTGTAGCTAAAACTTCTCAACCTGATGCACAGACCAGGAACTGAATCAAAGTACCTGTCCTATCAGCTAATTTTAGCAAATAAATTAAGCCTCTGAAGGGACAGAACCAAAGAGTATTATATGGGTTGGGGTGGGGGAGGTAGAGAGACAAAATCCAAAATGTAACAAGTAGAGGAGTAATGTTGAGAGGATAGAAAGAAAATGACCAATGAAAAAGCAAAGCATGAGGTGTGAAAGGCCTTTTCTAAAAAACAAAACAAAAATATAAGGGAAAGAACCAGAATCAAGTACTGAAAAGACAAATCACCAAGTTGCCTTCCCAAAAGATTTTCTGGAATAAAATTTGCTTTTCCCAGAATTCCAGGAGCAGATTTAATACCCATCATTTCAATTTGTCCTTATTAATTTTAAAGATGCAGGTTGTAGAATCTCCTGCCAGAGTCAAATAGCATTGACCTTGATAATTTTCATTACAATGAACTCACTATCTTCTGTGAAGAGCCCTTTCAACCACTGTGATATTTCTACACTTGGCCCCAGTTTCACACTGGAGATATTAACTCAAAGGTAGAGCCAGTGTAGAAAAGGAGAAAATGAATTTGATGAAGAAGACTCTTAGATTTAAATCTCATTTTTTAAAAAATGGGCTTTTTAGTGAAACCAGCTATTATTAATATTGTTTTGTTCTGCTGATTGGCAGTTTTTACAATATTTAACTGAATTCTCAAGCTTAAGTGCAAGTAGTTTTCTTTAAACAGTAAAAAGAAATATTACAAGGAATATGTGCATTTAAAATATCAAAATATCCTTTAAAAGGATTAAACCTGAGAATGTTAGTAAACACTACCATCTACTATAGTAGCAATTAAGTATTACTTATATTTTGCAAGCTTTAAATACTGTTATTTTACAAAGAGCACAGTTTTACATAGAAACAATATAAAATTAAAACAATAGCTCATTGTTAAACTTCCATCTAAGGATACCACACATAATTGAGTTACATTAACTCTCACGAAATAGGACCCTGTGGTGACATCCTGATTACCATTCTCAATTAACACTGCTACATTTTTTAATGCCTATGTTTAATGTCAAAACATTAGAGGCTTACAGGATAAGAAATCTATTAGTGTTTCAAAAATATGTTCCAAACCAGAGAGACTAGAAACAGAATGAAACCATATGTCATTTGCACTAAGGTGATAATTCCAGCAATATGAATTAATCAAGTTTCTCAAGGGAAGGCTATAATTTAAAAAGTAGTAAAGAAATTCAGAACACTAGGTTGAATCAGCTTGTTTAAGATGCAAAACAACAAATCTGAAAAAAATTGAGAAGTATTACACATGGGAGAGAAAACATTTCCATATTTCTAACTGCCATGTGTGTCTATTCAAATCAAACGATGACCTTTCCATGTGTTCTTGTTTATTAATGATGACCCTCACAATACCAGGCAAAACGTTTGCCCTCAGTATATGGTTTTTAAATAAATGAACAGCTTAAAGAAAAAAAACCAGGGGAAAAACCTTCAAAATTTAGGATTATAATGGAAAGAAGCCTGAAGAAATGTAATCTAGATCTGGGTTTTAGTCCTAACTTTGCAGTTATTTATTTTTAGAAACATGTGCAAATTATTTGACACACAATTATTACATCTCTAAATTTACTTAGTGGATTACTAGGTCTCTAAAACTTCCTCCCAACTCTTCATTCTGTCACTAAAACTGTGACTTAGCTTTAAAAAATCAAGCCAATAAAATATCCCAGAAGTTGAGACAAAGAAGTATGGAAAATGGCCAAAAATTAGTAACGGTAAATGATTTGAAAGATTGTGTTTGTTTTTAAGACTGGAACCATCTGAATAAAATTAGATGAAAATGATCCCTTAGGGTCTTAATACATTTAAATAGAAACAACCAATCTAAAATACAAAGACTACAACCTTGAAGAAAAGAAAAAAGTAAATTTCCAAATAGAAGATACTAATATTTAGAAGTTGTTAATTTATACATCCAGTCAAAAAAATGTATTAAATGTGCTCATCATGCCAGGTACCCTGCTAAGGACAGAGGGTATAAGGATAAAGGAGAGAATCTGTTCTCTAGGAAGTACTAGTCTGGCAATGAGTTCACAATATATTCTAGAAATATAATTCTAAGGGTTGAAAAAAATGCCACAAAAAAAGAAGTTCAGACAATAATAGTGTAGTCCTCAGATTAAAATTTATGTATTTTTTAAACATACAAAATTAAAATATAATTATTATTTTCATCTTGGATTTGTTGGGAAAGTCAAATTAATTGAATTGAATATTAATTTTTAAAAATGATAAGTTAAATGAGAAAACAGGCTAAAACAGGACGTTCTCTTGCATTTGACTTAGCAAATGCATAAGCATTCTAAAACATCTTTAGAGAGACCTACAAGATGGTGAAGGAATAAGACGTGGAGATCACCTTCCTCCCCACAAATACATCAGAAATACATCTATATGTGGGACAACTCCTACAGAACACCTACGGAGCGCTGGCAGAAGACCTCAGACTTCCGAAAAAACAAGAAACTCCCCACGTATCTGGGTAGGGCAAAAGAAAAAAGAAAAAGCAGAGACAAAAGAATAGGGACAGGACCTGCACCAGTGGGAGGGAGCTGTGAAGGAGGGAAGGTTTCCACACACTAGGAAGCCCCTTCGCGGGCGGAGACTGCGGGTGGCGGAGGGGGAAGCTTCGGAGCCGCGGAGGAGAGCGCAGCAACAGGGGTGCAGAGGGCAAAGCAGAGAGATTACCGCACAGAAGATCGCTGCCGACCAGCACTCACCAGCCCGAGAGGCTTGTCTGCTCACCCGCCAGAACGGGCGGGGGCTGGGAGCTGAGGCTCGGACTTCTGAGGTCAGATACCAGGGAGAGGCCTGGGCTTGACTGCGTGAACACAGCCTGAAGAGGGCTAGTGTGCCACAGCTAGCCAGGAGGGAGTCTGGGAAAAAAGACTGGACCTGCCTAAGAGGCAAGAGACCATTGTTTCATGGTGCGTGAGGAGAGGGGATTCAGAGCACTGCCTAAACAAGCTCCACAGACAGGCGAGAGCCGTGGCTATCAGTGCGGACCCCAGAGACAGGCATGAAACGCTAAGGCTGCTACTGCAGCCACCAAGAAGCCTGTGTGTGAGCACAAGTCACTATCCACACCTCCCCTCCCAGGAGACTGTGCAGCCCGCCACTGCCAGGGTCCCGTGATCCAGGGACAACTTCCCCAGGAGAACACACGGTGCGCAAATCCAAAGCTGAACCCCAGGAGCTGTGGGAACAAAGAAGAGAAAGGGAAATTTCTCCTAGCAGCCTCAGGAAGAGTGGATTAAATCTCCATGATCAACTTGATGTACACCGAATACCTGGAGAGACAAAGAATCATCCCAAAATTGAGGCAGTGGACTTTGGGAGCAACTGTAGACTTGGGGTTTGCTTTCTGCATCTAATTTGTTTCTAGATTTATGTTTATCTTAGTTTAATATTTAGAGTTTATTATCATTGGGAGATTAGTTTACTGATTTGGTTGCTCTCTTCCTCCTTTTTGTTTTTATGTATAGATACATATGTGTTTTTTTTTCCTTTTTCTCTTTTTGTGAGTGTGTAGGTGTATGCTTCTTTGTGCCATTTGGTCTGTATAGCCTTCCTTTTACCATTTGTCCTAGGGTTCTGTCCGTCTGTTTTTTTGTGTTTTTTTTCTTAGTATAGTTTTTAGAGCTTGCTATCATTGGTGGATTTGTTTTTTTGGTTTGGTTGCTCTCTTCTTTCTTTCTTTTTTCTTTTCTTTTTTGTAATTACTCTTAATTTTTTAATTTTAATAATTATTTTTTTATTTTAATAACTTTTAAATTTAATTTCTTTCTTTCTTTCTTTCTCTTTTTCTCTCTTTTCTTCTGAGCTGTGTGGCTGATATGGTCTTGGTGCTCCTTCCAGGTGTCAGGCCTGTGCCTCTAAGGTGGGAGACCCAAGTTCAGGACACTGATCCACAAGAGACATCCCAGCTCCATGTGATAACAGTGAAAGCTCTCCCAGATATGTCCATCTCAATGCTAAGAGTCAGCTGCACTCAATGTCTAGCAAGCTACAGTGCTGGACACCCTATGCCAAAAAACTAGCAAGACAAGAACACAGCCCTATCCATTAGCAGAGAGGCTGCCTAAAATCATAATAAGGCCACAGACACGCCAGAACACACCACTGGATGTGGTCCTGCCAACCAGAAGGACAATATACAGCCACATCTCCAGAACACAGGCACTGGTCCCCTCCATCAGGAAGCCTACACTACCCACTGAACCAAGCTTAGCCACTGGGGGCCAACACCAAAAGCAAAGGGAACTACAAACCTGTAGCCTGTGAAAAGGAGACCCCAAACACAGTAAGTTAAGCAAAATGAGAAGATAGAGAAACACACAGCAGATGGAGGAGCAAGGTAAAAACCCACCAGACTAAACAAATGAAGAGGAAATAGACAGTCTACCTGAAAAAGAATTCAGAGTAATGATAGTAAAGATGATCCAAAATCTTGGAAATAGAATGGAGAAAATACAAGAAACATTTAACAAGGACCTAGAAGAACTAAAGAGCAAACAAACAATGATGAACAACACAATAAAAGAAATTTAAAATTATTTAAATGAATCAATAGCAGAATAACTGAGGCAGAAGAATGGATAAGTCACCTGAACATAAAATAGTGGAAATAACTACTGCAGAGCAGAACAAAGAAAAAATAATGAAAAGAATTGAGGACAGTCTTAGAGACTTCTGGGACAACATTAAACACATCAACATTCAAATTATACAGGTTCCAGAAGAAGAAGAGAAAAAAAAAGGGACTGAGAAAATATTTGACGAGATTATAGTTGAAAACTTCCCTAATATGGGAAAGGAAATAGTCAATCAAGTCCAGGGAGTGCAGAGAGTCCCATTCAGGATAAACCAAAGGAGAAACATGCCAAGACACATATTAATCAAACCATCAAAAATTAAATACAAAGAAAAAATATTAAAAGCAGCAAGGGGAAAACAACAAATAATATACAAGGGAATCCCTATAAGGTTAAAAGCTGATCTATCAGCAGAAACTCTCCAAGCCAGAAGGGAGTGGCAGGAAATATTTAAAGTGATAAAAGGGAAAAATCTACAACAAAGATTACTCTACCCAGCAAGAATCTCATGCAGATTTGACGGAGAAATCAAAACCTTCACAGACAAGCAAAAGCTAAGAGAATTCAGCACCACCAAATGAGCTTTACAACAAATGCTAAAGGAAATTCTCTAGGCAGGAAACACAAGAGAAGGAAAAGACCTACAAAAACAAACCCAAAACATTTAAGAAAATGGTAATAGGAACATACATATCAATAATTACCTAAAATGTAAATGGATTAAATGCTCCAACCAAAAGACATGGACTGGCTGAATGGATACAAAAACAAGACCCTTATATATGCTGTCTACAAGAGACCTACTTCAGACCTAGGGACACATACAGACTGAAAGTGAGGGGATGGAAAAAGATATCCCATGCAAATGGAAATCAAAAGAAAGCTGGAGTAGCAATTCTCACATCAGATAAAATAGAGTTTAAAATAGATTATTACAAGAGGCAAAGAAGTACACTACCTAATGATCAAGGGATCAATCCAAGAAGAAGATATAACAATTGTAAATATTTATGCACCCAAAATAAGAGCACCTCAATACATAAGGCAAATGCTAACAGCCATAAAAGGGGAAATCGACAGTAACACAGTCAGAGTAGGGGACTTTAACACCACACATTCACCAATGGACAAATCATCCAAAATGAAAATAAATAGGGAAACACAAGTTTTAAATGATACATTAAACAAGAGGGACTTAATAGATATTTATTATTATTATTTAATAATATATATATATATAAAATATATTATTAAGGACCTTTCAACGAAAAACAACAGAATACATTTTATTCTCAAGTGCTCATGGAACATTCTCCAGGATAGATCATATCTTGGGTTAAAACTCAAGCCTTGGTAAATTTAAGAAAATTGAAATCATACCAAGTATCTTTTCTGACCACAACGCTATGAGACTAGATGTCAACTACAGGAAAAAATCTGTAAAAAATACAAACACATGGAGGCTAAGCAATACACTACTTAATAACCAAGAGATCACTGAAGAAATCAAAGAAGAAATCAAAAAATACCTAGAAACAAATGACAATGAAAACACAACAACCCAAAACCTTGGGATGCACAAAAGCAATTCTAAGAGAGACATTTATAGCAATAAAATCCTACCTGAAGAAACAAGAAACACCTCAAATAAACAACCTAAACTTACACCTAAAGCAATTAGAGAAAATAGAACAAAAAAACCCCCAAAGTTAGCAGAAGAAATCATAAAAAACAGATCAGAAATAAATGAAAAAGAAATGAAGGAAAAAATAGCAAGGATCAATAAAAGTAAAGCTGGTTCTTTGAGAAGAGAAACAAAATTGATAAATCATTAGTCAGACTCATCAAGAAAAAAAGGGAGAAGACTCAAATCAATAGAATTAGAAATGAAAAAGGAGAAGTAACAATTGACACTGCAGAAATACAAAGGATTATGAGAGATTACTACAAGCAACTATATGCCAATAAAATGGACAACCTGGAAGAACTAGACAAGTGCTTAGAAAAGCACAACATTCCAAGACTGAACCAGGAAGAAATAGAAAGTATAAACAGACCAATACAAGCACTGAAATTGAGACTGTGATTAAAAATCTTCCAACAAACTAAAGCCCAGGACCAGATGGCTTCACAGGTGAATTCTATCAAACATTTAGAGAAGAGCTAAAACCTATCATTCTCAAAATCTTCCAAAATATAGCAGAGGGAGGAACACTCCCAAACTCATTCTATGAGGCCACCATCACCCTGATACCAAAACCAGACAAAGATGTCACAAAGAAAGAAATCTACAGGCCAATATCACTGATGAACTTAGATGCAAAAATCCTCAACAAAATACTAGGAAACAGAATCCAACAGAACATTAAAAGGATCATACACCATGATCAAGTGGGGTTTATCCCAGCAATGCCAGGATCCTTCATATACTCAAATCAATCAATGTGATGAACACATATTAACAAATCAAAGGAGAAAAACCATATGATAATCTCAGTAGATGCAGAAAAAGCTTTAGAGAAAAGTCAACACCCATTTATGAGAAAAACCCTCCAGAAAGTAGTCATAGAGGGAACTTACCTCAACATGATACCTCAACATATAACAAACCCACAGCCAACATTGTTCTCAATGGTGAAAAACTGAAACCATTTCCACAAAGATCAGGACCAAGACAAGGTTGTCCACTCTCATCACTATTATTCAACATAGTTTTGGAGGTTTTAGCCACAGCAATCAGAGAAGAAAAAGAAATAAAAGGAATCCAAATCAGAAAAGAAGTAAAACTGTCACTGTTTTCAGATGCCATGATACTATACATAGAGAAAGATTCTACTAGAAAGCTACTAGAGCTAATCAATGAATTTGGTAAAGTAGCAGGATACAAAATTAATGCACAGAAATCTCTTGTATTCTTACACACTAACAATAAAAGATCAGAAAGAGAAATTAAAGAAACACTCCCATTTACCATTGCAACAAAAAGAATAAAATACCTAGGAATAAGCATACCTAAGGAGACAAAAGACCTGTATGCAGAAAACTATAAGACACTGATGAAAGAAATGAAAGATGATACAAACAGATGGAGAAATATACCAAGTTCTTGGATTGGAAGAATCAACATTATGAAAATGACTATACTACCCAAAGCAATCTACAAATTCAATGCAATCCCTATCAAACTACCAATGGCATTTTTCACAGAACCAGAACAAAAAAATTCATAATTTGAATGGAAACACAAAAGAACCCATATAGCCAAAACAATCTTGAGAAAGAAAAATGGAGCTGGAGTCAGCAGGCTCCCTGACTTCAAACTATACTACAAAGCTACAGTAATCAAGACAATATGGTACTAGCACAAAAACAGAAATACAGATCAATGGAACAGGTTAGAAAGCCCAGAGATAAACCCACACACATATGGTCACCTTATTTTTGATAAAGGAGGCAAGAATATACAATGGAGAAAAGATAGCATCCTCAGTAAGTGGTGCTGGGAAAACTGGACAGCTACATGCAAAAGAATGAAATTAGAACACTCCCTAACACCATACACAAAAATAAACTCAAAATGGATCAAAGACCTAAATATAAGGCCAGACACTATAAAACTCTTAGAGGGAAATATAGGCAGAACACTCTATGACATAAATCATAGCAAGATCCTTTCAGACCCACCCCCTAGAGAAATGGAAATAAAAACAAAAATAAACAAATGGGACCTAATGAAACTTCAAAGCTTTTGCACAGCAAAGGAAACCATAAACAAGACCAAAAGACAACCCTCAGAATGAGAGAAATTATTTGCAAACAAAGCAACTGACAAAGGATTAATCTCCAAAATTTACAAGCAGCTCATGCAGGTCAATATCAAAAAAAAACAAACAACCCAATCCAAAAACGGTCAGAAGACCTAAATAGACATTTCTCCAAAGGAGATATACAGATTGCCAACAATCACATGAAAGAATGCTCAGCATCACTAATCATTAGAGAAATGCAAATCAAAACTACAGTGAGGTATCACCTCACACCAGTCAGAGCG